GGCAGGTCCGCAGCAATATCAAAGGTCATGTTGACAGTTTTTTCGACTCTCGTGGGGTGGTGTGTCGTGAGTACGCACCACAAGGCCAAACCATCGCAAAGGAGTACTACCAGGAGGCCCTTCGTCGTCTTTCCGATACAGTGTGACGCAAACGACCGGATCTGTGGTCGATCAAAACTTGGCAGCTCCATCGTGATAACGCATCCGTCTATTCTGCGCATCTGATTCGGGCTTTCGTCGCCAAACACAATACTCCTGTGGTTTGTCTCGCTCCGTACTCTCCCCACATGGATCCGTGTGACCTTATGCTATTTCCCAAGCTGAAAATGCCGCTAAAAGGAACCCGAATTTAGTCGAGAGAAGACATCGTGCGGAATCCGACGGACCGGCTGATGGCCATTCCAAAAGATGCGTTCCAGCAGTGTTTCCAGCAATGGCAGGAACGCTGGGAGAAGTGTATACATTACCAAGAAGACTACTTTGAAGGGGATTAGGGTTTCGTACCTCAAAGTCAATAAATTTATTTTTGCCGATCAAAGGTCCGATACTTTTTGAACACACCTCGTATACCCCAATACAGTAGTTTCTATTTCTATCGCATCCTACATAAAAAATAAATATATTTTGCAACGAAATGTTATATATAATGTATATGAGAGGTGTGGTATGACCTAGGACGACACCCTTGTGGAGTTGAACTTTCGGTTAAAGGTTACGACCCTCGCTTTGCCCGCGATCTGTCAGGATGACGCGAGAAAGCCTTTTCCATACGTGGGTAGTGGTTTACTGCACGCAAAGATGACTCACACAAACACCGTATTTACCAATTCAACGGGTTTATTTGACAAAGACATGCTTACAGATAAAGTTAAAGTCCGTTTAGATGAGTGTTTCTTTTCCAAACGAAAGTGTTCGTCTCCAAGGATAAGTTGATTCAGAAACAGGAGAAAGTTCGTTTCCAATCTAAGTTGTTTCTGGAGGCTGGGAGAGTAGAGATCCACGCCTGGAAGTTCGATCTCTGTTCGCACTGTAGTACAGAAATTTGTAATAAGATACATAAAGCGGTTATAATAAAATATTAATTTTAATTATTCGAAAATACGTTAAAATATGAAAATAATCGCGCAATATATATTTATTTTTTAGAAAATACGAGGGAAGCGGCGGATCCACCGCTTCCAATGACGGCACACCACTGGTACTGATTAAACATGTATGTACTGTACAGTATATATTTCATCTGTATATCTGTATATCTGTATATCTGTACAGTAGAATCATTCAAAATTTGTTGTATATACTAGTTACATGTAAATAACTTAAGCATATAGAATTTACTTTTAACACATATTAATTATAAGAATTTATTATATTAACCGTTTTTTTTTTTTTTTATAAAACTTGTTCAAATTTTGATGAAAGTTCTAAATTGACAAATATGAATCAATTCACAATGAATTTTTTCTTGTAGACATTACTGGACATAAAATTTTATTCCTGCAACAGATAGTTACATTCTCCATTTAACATCCTTTACAATTCTACAATTTGTCTTCTTGGACAGTTGTAATTTAAAAGTTTGGTTAGATTTACCCTTAGGTAGCCAAAATGGCGGCGTTTCGTTTCCGTTAGATCAGCGACATTTTTAGTGGACACTTTTTTTATTTATTTTCTTCAAGAACAACCGCGATTTTTTTTATTTATTTTGTTGGAGAACTTCCGAGAATTTTTTTATTTATTTTGTTGGAGAACTGCCGCGATTTTTTTTTATTTATTTTGTTGGAGAACTGCCGCGAATTTTTTTATTTATTTTGTTTACTTAACAACCGGAGTCTAAACTAGGTTTAGCCTCTGAAGGTTGAGTGAACAGACTCAAAAGTACTCAAGGCTAAAGAATCTGGGATGAGAAAAAAATAACAAAGTAATCTTTTTTAAAGAATGATAGAGAGTTACTGCATTTTTATAACTGAAACTTTTGTTAAAATGGTAAAAACTTAGTTTATTAAACTTTTTTTTAAATAAAAAAACAAGTTTTCTTATTTAATGATTATTATATTACAAGCAGCACAAAGTATATAATGGAAGTTNATAAACTGGAAAATGGAATCTAATTTTCCTCTATTTTCGTAATATTGATTAAAACATTCGTATAAAACATCGCTCGCCTATAAATATAATAGTCTTATTTGATAATTTATTGATAAAATACAAATAAAAGTATGAAATACAAACAAACCTTTTGATAGAATTCCGAGCTTCGAGCAATGGTACAGTTCACGAATCTTAACAAATATGTGTAATTTATCGCTGTAAATAATATACAGAATCTTTTGTATTTGAAGGATAATAATTGTATAAAAAAAAGAATATTCTTACCACAAAAGATTTCTATTTTTTCCGAATGGCTAAATGCTCGGGTATAGCTGAATATACATAATATTGAAGTTAAGGCAAATATTATATTCATCTTAACCTTTTGATGCTAATTCATAAACTGGTCGAGTGTAAAATGAATGAAATAAAAGCGTGGTGTTGTTTGCGTATTTTAGCTTACACGTAATTAGCTTGCGTAAAAGAATACGTCTTATCGTAAACTGGAAATAGTTAACAGTTTCCTCCTTTTAATTTAATGCGATCAAATTTAAGATATATTTTTATACGTTGTTTCTTTCGAGTTGTTACATAGGCTACAATATTTATTGTATATTATAATTCTTTAAATAATATATATATTTTTATATTTGTATTATAATTAATGTAATGGGAATGAAATTGAAGGNACTTTTTCAGCAATACCCGACAAATATCTACTCAGATTCTTAAATTGCACTGTTAGTCGTGTCCCAAAAATCTTTCAAAAGGTATGCTTATTTTCTAATTTTCAATTGTGATTTGGTTTAGATTAATTCACGCATTTTTAAACGAATGTTTTTCTCTTTAAGGCAACCGATATCATACATGAATGCGTAGATACAGTTTATGAAGTGGATGGTAAATTGGATGCTCTTTTAATGTTTGCTTGTGACAATAATGTACAGGAAGACAAGGATGTAAGCACTTACTTTGTATTTTGCAGGCATATTTATTCTTAATATTAAGTGCAAATTAAGATTTCGTAGAAATTCTTGTTAATTTATAGAATATTTGAGATAAAAAATACATTAGATCTTTTAAAATCAACTCGCCTTTAATACAAAATCTAAAATGAATTTTGTTCTATTAGGTTTACGAATGTTTGATGGAAAAAGGCAAGGTAATATATTATGCGTGTTACTTTTATATATTTAAATTTTTGCTATAGTTAATTTATATATAAATATATATTTTTCAATTAGGTNAAAATAAAAGTTTAAATATATAAAAGTAACACGTATAATATATTACCTTGCCTTTTTCCCGCAAACATTCACCAATCTAATGGAACAAAATTCATTTTAGATTTTGTATTAAAGGCGAGTTGGCTTTAAAAGATCTAATGTATTTTTATCGTAAATTTTCAATAAATTAACAAGAATTGCTACGAAATCTTAATATTCAGTTCATATTTAAAATATATCTGCCTGCAAAATACAAAGTAAGTGCTTACATCCTTGTCCATGAGTACATCAATGTTACAAGCATACAGTAAAAGAGCATCCAATTTGCCATCGACTTCATAAAATGAATCTATGCATTCATATAAAATATCGGCTCCCTTATAAAGAAAAACATTCGTTTAAAAATTCGTGATAAATCTAAACCAAATCACAATCGAAAATACGAAAATAAGCATACCTTTTGAAAGATTTTTGGGGCACGACTAACAGTGCAATTTAGGAATCTGAGTAGATATTTGTCGGGTATTGCTGAAAAAAAAAACAAATGTAAATCAAAGTAAATTATAAACTTAATTCTTACTGCAATATAAATAAAAAAAATAAAATAAAAAAAATGCAGCCATACAGCACACAGCATCCTGGAATTCATGCTGAGTAAATGATTGAGCAACTCCAAATACAGCTAGGAATGAAAATGCTGCAATCAAATACACCTTCATCTTTCGTCTTCTATTTGAATTCGACAAAATGTACTAAGAACAAACAATACAATCCGAGTTTAACTTCGATTTGTATGACTACTTCTTTGGAAAGGAAATTTATATGTGTTAAAGAAAAAACTCGGATGTAAAAGTATTTAATTATATCCTGTTTTTTGCAAGGAAATGATTATATATATTATTTATCCGAAATAAATTTCTTTTCTATAATCAGACTAATTAATTAATTAAACAAATAAGTGCAAATTTTAATATAGAATTAATGAATTCTTGTTAAAAAAATATTAAACTTTTAACATTTTAAAACATTTCAAAAAGCAATAGTTTTTTTATGACATCGTATATATAGAAATAAATATAGAGGGGTCCCAATGCATCCCCAATATACATCCCTTTTCAAATTTACTGTAAGTCTTGTATTGTCAAATGTACTNAACATAAAACTAATTGAGTACTAATCAAATGTTACAGCTGAATCCTTATCAGATGACTATGAGACTAATTAATTAATCAGATATTAAGAAATCTGGAGTAGAGGTAGGCAGTTAATATACCATCTCATATTAAATAAATTAATTTATTTTTAGTTATTGAATTTAACATCTGATTAATTAATTAACTTCATAATAGCCCAATCAGAATCCAGCTGTAACATTTGACTAGTAATATTTATCAAATTGTTTGTAAATCTAATTGTTATTAAGTATTTTATGCAAGAACTAATAGCAATCTGAAAACTATATAAACGAACCAAACTAGAACTATGTTTAGATTAACTAAATGAAATTATATAATTATTAAAAACAACCATCAAATTCTACCTGTTTGTTTGTTTATATNATTAATGAATTCTTGTTAAAAAAATATTAAACTTTTAACATTTTAAAACATTTCAAAAAGCAATAGTTTTTTTATGACATCGTATATATAGAAATAAATATAGAGGGGTCCCAATGCATCCCCAATATACATCCCTTTTCAAATTTACTGTAAGTCTTGTATTGTCAAATGTACTGTGCAGAGTACCTCTGATGGCACTCGCAGTACCTCTGATGGCATGTACTGTACAGTACAGTACAACAGTACAGTATTCAACTGTATTTGTACTCGATCCTGATCTTCACATCAATGGTATCCTGTACAGTGGTTTGGTACACTTGGGCTTGACATAGCCTCACAGAAAGAAGTCGACAAGTGTAATGCCAGGAAACCAATGTGGCGGATAATTGTAAATGCTAATAACGAGTAAAATCGTCATTAAGTCTGACCCTACTGAAGATACATACGACACTATTATCTCCCCACCTCGTTGACCTTTAACCACTAAAATTTAATAGCATAAATTCCGTTAATACACAAAAATCCCTGCAAAATTTTCGACAAATTAAGTAGTTCAAGTATTAATTTTTGANAGCATTACAGCACACAGCATCTTCGAATTCATCCGGAGTAAATGATTGTACAACTCCAAATACAGCAAGGAATGAAAATGCTGCAATTAAGAACACTTTCATCTTTCGTCTTCTATTCGAATTTCACAAAATCTTGTAAGATCGAACAATACAATCCGAGTTTAACTTCGATTTGTGTGACTACTTCTTTGGAAAGGAAATTTAAATGTGTTAAAGAAAAAAATCGGATGTAAAAGTATTTAATTATATCCTGTCTTTTGCAAGGAAACGATTATATATATTATTTATCTGAAATGAATTTCTTTTTAATTAATTGATNAATTTATTATATTGATATAAGCAATCTAAAATATCAAATACTTCATTATTTATTTTTAAGTTATAGCTAAATGACAAAAATATACACACAATTGTAATATTAGATCATTATTGTCATTCAAAATAATTTGAACAATCCCGTTTAATTACCTCTTAAAACTTTTTCCTACATCAATTAATATGTCCCACTTTCTAAAAGAAATAATTCATTAATAATTAAACTATCTGACTTTCAATAAAATGTAGAACAAATTTAAATTTTATTAGAAAGTGAACAAGCATCTTTACAAACCAAGACATATATGTTAGATAATATATTTTCATTTCTCTTTTAATTTAATTCTCTCTTTTTTTTTCGTTGTTACTAAGCACATCAAATGAGATTGTTCTGATGTTTTTTATGTTGCAAAATATCTTTTTAAAATGTATTTTATTTATTATTGTACAGTAAAACCTGTCCAAAATGAAACCTGGATAAAACGGAAACCTGCCAAACCGGAAAATATTCGGTACCGTGCGATTCCGGTTTACGCAGGTTTTACAGTATAACTTTCGGCTTTAACGGTCAACCCTTCGCCCGAATTAGTTGGTTAAATCGAGGTTTTACTATAATATAATTAATTTTTCTTTATGCTACAGCAGAAAGAATCGACGTCACTCTTTCGTATAAGAGCAAATACAGTATAATAATTTTTGCTTTTTAGATTCGAATGTAGTTTAAATTCTTTTGCGGGAAAAGTTACGCAACTCGTTGATGGACTTTTAACTTTTAATAATGAAAATTTATTAACTTTATTAAGTATTTGTTAATATAAAATTGCAGTTTATTACAAATAGTATATGTGAGGCCGGGACAACACCGCCCTCCCGTACGGGAACCGCCTGTCGAGCTAAAGTCAATAAATCGGTGACTTATTACGTAAATAGGACCGGTGTGACCAAGGAACGGGGTACGAGACGATTTAATTGTCGCATTCCAGGCCTAATTGACAGATCCGCGATCGTCATTCGTGAGAACGAGAGAGGGATCGTCCGCCGGGGCAACTTTGGACAGTCATCTTACAGAGAGTTCAAAGCGGGACCTGCTGACACTCCCGTGGAGGTGGGCCACGGCTGGGACAGCTGCGTCTTCTCCGGGACAGAAAAATTAGGTAAAATTTACGGGTCCGTCATCCGGAAAAAGGCTTGACCGACTCCGGAGGGAAACGGCCCGGACGGGGATGTTCGGCAACTCCGCGGTCCGAATCGAGCCTCTGGCAACAAACCAAGGGATCAATAGAATCACAGGGGACCANTAGTATATGTGAGGCCGGGACAACACCCCCACCCTGTACGGGAACAGCCTGTCGAGCTAAAGTCAATAAATCGGTGACTTATTACGTAAATAGGATCGGTGTGACCAAGGAACGGGGTAGGAGACGATTTAATTGTCGCATTCCAGGCCTAATTGACAGATCCGCGATCGTCAATAGTGAGAACGAGAGAGGGATCGTCCGCCGGGGTAACTTTGGACGGTCCCCTTACAGAGAGTTCAAAGCAGGACCTGCTGACACTCCTGTGGAGGGGGCAGCGGCTAGGACAGCTGCGTCTTCTCCGGGACAGAAAAATACACATTAGGTCAAATTTACGGGTCCGTCATCCGGGAAAGGGCTTGACCGACTCCGGATGGTGAACGGCCCGGACGGGGATGTTCGGCGATCCCCGGCCTGAATCGCGCCCCTGGCAACAGACCAAGGAAACCAATAGAATCACAGGGGACCATTATTCGGACGAATTAAAACCTCGGGATTTCGGGGAAAAAAAGGTTATAAAAGCCCGAAATCCCAGGACACGGGAAGGGGGTGAGTGGAAGATCAGGAACAAGTTAGGCTGTTCTTAAGATTTTAACCAGAATTACGGAGGAGAAGACTCAAAACTTGAACGAATGCGGCAAGAGTGAGGAACTTAACTTTCCGAGCACACTTCTCTACCTGGACCAGTGCGAACAGAGACCTAACTTCCAGGCGTGGATCTCTACTCTCCCAGCCTCCAGAAACACCTTAGATTGGAGACGAACTTTCTCCTGTTTCTGAATAAACTTATCTTTGTGATATTTTTCAAGTTTTGTAATCAAGTTATAACGTTAGAAAAGATCCTTTAATTTTTAAAAAATCTAAATTCTTTCTGAAATTGTAAATTTTAAGATATTATTTTTTAAATCAGATTGATGAATTCCCATCTCCATTTTCAATTCGTTCATCAATTATTAATTGTAATAACTTGTATACCCTCTGTCTGTGGCTGGATTTAAAAAAAAAAGGATTTAAATTGACCCAATGTGGTAGTAGCCCCAAGTCTCCATTCGTTCACTATGGTGGTTGCGTCTCGATAGCTATAAGGGTGCGAGAGATATGGGCTTGAAAGTGGTTGAAAGTGGCTTTCTATTTCGAATGTTTTGTTCGAATTTGTTCGAATTAAATTCGAATATTGGTTCGATTATAGAACGATTGTNAGCTCTAGTAGAAAGGGCGTTCTCGCACTCATCCACCGAGCAGGCCCTGGCAACCGAGTTAGCCCGCATCAAGAGGATAGCAACCGAGCACGGGTTCCCGAACATGACACGCCACTTAGTAGAACGATACCAACGCCTGAAACACTCCCCGACCGCAAATAATGTTGCCGACCTCCAGCAAGACGGTTCGACACGAGTCCCCATTACATTCAACCCATACCTTAAAGCAGTGCATAAGAAGATAGCCGGAGAACACAGGATACTATTAGCGCACAGAAGATGTCCCACGATTTTCCGTATCCTACGGAATGATAAAGACTCTCCCGATCGCACCAGACTTCCCGAGTCTATTTTATCCCAATCAGGGACAACATCTACAATGCCGGCCGGGTAACCACGTTCGTTAACCGGAAGGACGAGCTGACTGTATCTCTGGCCTGGCAATCACTGTTGGATGCCAACCCATAACTTCCCCTCCACCGCACGACCGCATGTCAGAAAGGATCCACTTCGTCGAAATGACACCTGATCCCAACAAATAGAATACACTCCGTCCAGGGAAAACCAGTTGACCTGAAGAAGAGCAAAGAGATTGTTCGAAAACGTTCGTCAACAGCGATATACAATATATACGCGCCACGCACCGGTTACAGGTTCCGGATACAGACTTAATAAATTTTGGGTGATGTGTATGGGAATTTAGAAGTTTCTCAACAAAACTTTTATCAGTAGCTTTTGGAAACCAGCACTTTTCATCGATTAAAGCAAGTATTCCCATTGGCTATATAAGAAATATATAGTATTAATTTCAATTTTCATAATAGAACAATCTTAATTAAAAACAATAAATCTATTTAAAATTCTAAAATATATCTAACAAAGTATAATGCCAGAAGCGTAATTTTATTTTATACTGGTGTATGACTTTTTTTATTTACTTGGTAAAAATTCAAAATCTCAAAAGCAAATTTTATACAGTATCTGAACTCCCTATATATAAATTCTCACTACATTAAATCATGTTCTTTAGTACACAATGTGACAGACAAATCAAATAATCCTGGTATAACAAATTTAATCAACATGCATTTGTGATAAATTCTAAAATCTTGCTAGTAGAAGTAGAAAATACAACTCCATTTCCAATATCTGCTTTCATTTATTTCATAGGTATTGTCTGTTCTCTCTATCAATTGTACAGTCTAGTGACTTTTATCTCAGTGTCAATGCAATCTTATAAATTTATTTTAAACAGTTTGTTACAATAGATTCACTACCATATATGCTTATTTTTATTGCTGCACTGTTTTATATAGTAATATTTTAATACAAATATATTATAGTGATACTGTATACTAAAGAAAGTGCAGTACTTATACAATTACAATACGGAATACTACACAAACTTATTCATTGCATAAACTAAAAAGTTCAAATTTAAGTTGTAATTAAGTCTTGAAATTCGAAATTCAAGAATTTCTTTTTTAAAAAATCCATCAATGAGTTGCATAACTTTCCCGGCCAAACTTTCAAACTCCGTTTGGTTCCATCTGCTACGACATCTTATCAAAAACATTTTATATTATTAATTATTATAAAATGGCATAAAGCTTAATTTTATGGGTAAAAAATGAATTTTATAAAGAATTGTAAATGCTAATAAGGAATATTTTAGAGGCTATCCCACTCGAGATACGACACGTAAACACCTCTATCTCCTCATTTTCTCGACCTTTAACCACCAAAATTTAACAGCATCGATAAATCAAATGTACACATTTCTCTGCAAAATTTCAGAAATTTTCGACAAAAGGCGCAAGAGTTATTAATTCTGACAACAATTTAATTATTTAAATAACGACATTCGAATCTAAATAGCCAAAAATTATTATATTTGCTCCTTACGAAAGAGTGACGTCGATTCTTTCTACTGTAGCGTAAAGAAAAAGTAATTATACATACTGTACATTCCTTTTCAAATTTACTGTAAGTGTTGTATTGTCAGATGTACTGTGCAGAGTACCTCTGATGGAACTCGCAGTACCTCTGATGGCATGTACAGTACAGTACAACACCTAACCGATATTCAACTCGATCCTGATCTTCACATCAATGGTATCCTGTATAGTGGTTTCGTACACTTGGGCTTGACAGCCTCACAGAAGAAAGTCGAGAAGTGTAATGCCAGGAAACCAATGTGGCGGATAATTGTAAATGCTAATAACGAGTAAAATCGTCATTAAGTCTGACCCTACTGAAGATACACACGACACCATTATCTCCCCACGTCGTTGACTTTTAACCACCAAAATTTAATAGCATAAATTCCCTTAATACACAAAAATCCATGCAAAATTTAAAAAATTTTCGACAAATTAAGTAGTTCAAGTGTTAATTTCTGATTTTATTAATGTAAGCTAATAGAGATATGTTTTTATAAATGCAATTATCAGAAAATTACTTAATAACGAATAAAGTTGTAAAGGATATTGTTAAACGTTTCCGATAAACTGGCTCTAATTAAAGCATTTTCTTTTAAAATGTGATATTTTTCAAGTTTTGTAATCAAGTTATAACGTTAGAAAAGATTTTTTAATTTTTAAAAAATCTAAACTCTTTCTGAAATTGTAAATTTTAAGATATTATTTTTTAAATCAGATTGATGAATTCCCATCTCCATTTTCAATTCGTTCATCAATTATTAATTGTAATAACTTGTATACCCTCTGTCTGTGGCTGGATTTAAAAAAAAAAGGATTTAAATTGACCCAATGTGGTAGTAGCCCCAAGTCTCCATTCGTTCACTATGATGGTTGCGTCTCGATAGCTATAAGGGTGCGGGAGATATGGGGGCTTAAAGTGGTTGAATTCGAAGATTTTCTATTTCGATTTTTAAAATGTTCGAATCGTTTTAAATTCGAATTTGTATTCGAATTGGTTCGTTTATAGAACGATTGTAAACGTTCCAGAAAATTGATAAAATTGAAAATAGTTTGCTTGACTGGACGTAAAAATTCTCTAATTAGTTTGGAAACAGGGGACCTAATTCTTGCATTCTGTGCTATAAGGGTGTGGGAGATATGGGGTTGTAAGTGGTTGACTTCGGAGATGTGTAACAATGGAGGTGTCAACAATGGAAGTGTCAACAATAGAAGTGTTAACAGTGGAAGTGTTGAGTAACAAAGGAAATGTTAATATAAAGCGGCATGCAAGATTTACAGGCGGTTTTTTGCGTTTTTGCGGGAAATCGAACATATTTTTAGACTCGTGTAAAAATTCTCTAATTAATCTGGAAACGGAGAACCTAATTCTTGCATTCTGTGAAAACAAGTAAGATTGTCTATAATGTAATTATCTTAATCTTCACTATCGTTATTTTTTGCCCAGCGAAGCGGGTCCTTGCAGCTTGTACTTAATAAAATTAAAATTAGTATATCTCTATTAATTAGTTAAATGTAATTAAAATATTAGTATATCGTTAACCTACTTCGCGTTGAATTTTCATCGATGATAGGCCTAACAAATTTTTTAAAAAAATAATAATCATCGCTATTGTATCGTTAAAATTATTTTTAAATTATTTTATTGCTCACAAAACGAACAACCACTCATAATTAGAAAATTAAATCTCGTTTAAATACTGGCTTCCCTTTCATGGTCGAGCCAGTATTGCCAGCTAAAACACGCAAAAATTTAACAAAAATTATATTAAAGTAGCCAAGACATAGGTAAATATTGTAGCGCCATATCATTAGCAGACATTTTAAATTTGCCGACTAGAACGGTCTGTTAACCGATGTGACGGATAATCGGGGGTCGGATAATCGATGCTCTACTGTATATATAATCATTTCCTTGCAATAAACAGGATATAATTAAATACTTTTACATCCGAGTGTTTTCTTTAACACATATAAATTTCCTTTCCAAAGAAGTAGTCACACAAATCGAAGTTAAACTCGGATTGTATTGTTTGTTCTTACAACATTTTGTCGAATTCGAATAAAAGACGAAAGATGAAAGTGTTCTTAATTGCAGCATTTTCATTCCTGGCTGTATTTGGAGTTGTACAATCATTTACTCCCTATGAAATACAAGACGCGATGTGCTGTAAGGCTGCATTTTTCTTTTTTCTTTTTATTTATTGCAGTAAGAGTTAAGTTTATAATTCACTTTGATTTACATTTGATTTTTTCAGCAATACCCGACAAATATCTATTCAGATTCCTAAATTGCACTATTAGTCGTGCCCCAAAAATCTTTCAAAAGGTATGCTTATTTTCTAATTTTCAATTGTGATTTGGTTTAGATTAATTCACGAATTTTTAAACGAATGTTTTTATTTATAAGGCAGTCGATATCGTACATGAATGCGTAGATACAGTTTATGAAGTCGATGAAAAATTGGATTCCGTTTTATTGTATACTTGTAACATTAATGTACTCTTAGACAAGAATGTAAGCACTTACTTTGTATTTTGCAGGCATATTTATTCTTAATATTAAGTGCAAATTAAGATTTCGTAGCAATTCTTGTTAATTTATAGAATATTTGAGATAAAAAATACATTAGATCTTTTAAAGTCAATTCGACTTTAATTCAAAATCTAAAATGAAGTTTGTTCCATTAGATTGGCGGATGTTTGCGGGAAAAAACCGAGGTAATATATTAATATTATGCGTGTTATTTTTATATATTTAAATTTTTGCTATAGTTAATTTATACATAAATATATATATTTCAATTAGGGTCTAGACAATCCAGACCGACAAGATATGTCATCATTGAAAGAAACTGCCGTAAATTGTATGATTTATGCGTGAATCATATACTCTCGTGTGATTATAATGTCTAACATTCGTACAATTGTACTTTTTGTACCCGTACAGTTAAAGAATTAAATTGATTATGAAGCATTAAATTATTGTTTTCTATAAATTAATTACGGATGACATTTAGGCTACGTAGGGTCACTTTAATCTAAAAATAATTTTCTTTTAAATATTAGAACAAAGGTAATAGACTCCATGATATTAATATGATAATAATTATTCGATTATTATTTTAAGATTTTATTCATTCAATCTAATGTATTAGGAATTATTCTCGAGTTAATCGGTTTTGAAAGTTTTAATTAATCCTGATTTTAATATTAATGCAAAATAACTAGAAATTATTGTTTAAACCTCCAGTTAGCGATTTATAACACAGTCAAACCTCTGAAGAATAGCCACTGACAGAAACATTTAAGAATGCCCGCTGTTTGCATTGTATTTTGTATGCATTTTTACCCATTAAAAAAAAACTTCTNTAAAAAAATATCACATTTTAAAAGGAAATGCTTTAATTACAGCCAGTTTATCGGAAACTTTTAACAATATCCTTTACAATTTTCTTCGTTATTAAGTAATTTTGTGATAATTGCACTTACTAAAACGTATCGCTATTAGCTTACATTAATAAAATCAAAAATTAACACTTGAACTACTTAATTTGTCGAAAATTTCTTAAATTTTGCAGGGATTTTTGTGTATTAAGGGAATTTATGCTATTAAATTTTGGTGGTTAAAAGTCAACGACGTGGGAAGATAATAGTGTCGTATTGTACAGATATTTGAACTCCAGTAGGTTCAGACTTAATGACGATTTTACTCGTTATTAGCATTTACAATTATCCGCCACATTGGTTTCCTGGCATTACACTTCTCGACTTCTTTTTGTGAGGCTATGTCAAGCTCAAGTGTACCAAACCACTGTACAGGATATCATTGATGTAAAGACCAGGATCGAGTAGAAATACAGTTGAATACCGGTTAGGTGTTGTACTGTACTGTACATGCCATCAGAGGTACTCTACTCTGCACAGTACATCTGACAATACAAGACTTACTGTAAATTTGAAAAGGGATGTATTGGGACCCCCGTATATTTATTTCTTTATAGGGCTATATGATGTCATAGAAAAAAACTGTATTGCGTTTTAAAATGTTAAGATTTTAAAAATTTAATATTTTTTAAACAAGAATTCATTAATTCTATAATAAAATTTGCACTTATTTGTTGAAAATGTTACACAATTGCTATAAATATTAAATACGTAAAAACAGCAAAGATAAATGTAATTTTTTAATTAATTAATTAACAATGAGCATTTATCGTATAATAAAAAAATAATAATATAATAATGATAATTTATAGTAATTTATTGTAATAATTCTTAATCTAACAAAAAAATGAGGCCGCATTGGACTTCAATAAGCCCTAGGCCCCAAAAAACCTAGATCCGTCCCTGTACCAGTCACAGTAATGATTTAGCACATCTATTTCGCGCTATGTCATTGTCGCAGTAATTAAGTTAATACTGTATAATATAATTTTTTCAAGAAAGTTCACTAAATTTTATAAACAGAAAACTATATGAAATTTTATAAGTAACGTGACGTCATTGGCCGAACGTCATTGACAACAATTAGGCAACGAGCTTTTTCGGTAATTGTTAACGAATCAACAATTCAAATTGCATTGTTCTTTTTTGAATCAAGACGCCATTTTCGTATTACTGGCATTTTCAAAGAAATAACGTAAAAATAAGCCAAGAAATTGCAGAATGATGGAGGGAAGAGGAAAAGACTGAAACAGGGTATAACGAAACATTCAAACAAAANAAGAATAGCCACTGACAGAAACATTTAAGAATGCCCGCTGTTTGCATTGTATTTTGTATGCATTTTTACCCATTAAAAAAAAACCTTCTGAAAAAATAACAGCCGTTTAGAGGTGTACGTTATTGCAGAATTTAAAACTATATTTAAATGTTTATGAAGTATTTTTTTAAAGAAATTATTTAAATTGTTCTGTTTACACGTAACAGCTTTAAGACTTAAACATCAATGGTCACCATGGATAATACGTCAAATAGAAAATAGTTGTAAAATATTAATATAGTTGTTCAGAAATTCACCAACAAAATTGCTCTCCTGCTTTTACAGCGCTAAATTCATTCTGCAAAAAGGTCGTTCTGCAGTATCGAGAGTCATGGCAGTCACATTGCGCGAAGTAGAAAATTCACCGACTGACTACATATACGGGATTGAGATTTGAGGATTTTCGGGGGTCGGTTTTTCTGTCTTTCAAACATCTATAGTAAATGTAAACATCTTGTTCGAAAGATATTTGTTTATTTAGGTAGTATGAAAAATTTCAGGTTTTTTTATAGAGACTTTGCCGAAATATAAGCAATTGAAAAGTGCAAAAATCGGCATAAAAGCTGTCTTTTTCTCTCTTGCTGGCGGTACAGACGCTTCTAGAGAAAAAATACCACCGGATCTAGAGTGCTGAAATTTTAAACTTTAGTCTTTCTCGTTATCGGTAAGGTGGTAGCGAAACTTTCGGGTCGATAGGTCGAACTTTGGGGGATCCCCCACAGAGCTATTTAAGATAAAAGTACATCCAAACGAATGACTTTCATTCGAAATGTTTCCAGAATAACAAAAGCTCAAATTTATGCAAATTAAATCTTTTTGCAACGATTAAACTAACAGCATATTGAAAGCATTCGGTGGGCGGCTATTGCTTAATTTTGATAATCTGCAGTATATTCTTTTACACGTAATAAAGGCATTTAAACGCCCAGGTCTACTAGTGGCCAAGCGGTTTTCGTTCCCTGAACACTGGTAGTTCGGTCGTCTCTCGGATGGGCTAACGACATGAGTTTTCCGGGTTTTCTCCACGTCTGTAACGCCTAAATAGGGATCAGTTTCCCTTAAAAACTCTCACGGTAGGCATCCCCTAGGCAGATCGCTCAAGTGTTGTGTTGCCATAACTCAAACAAATCAAACCTAAACGCTCAGTTGACCTTTTTAATTGATAGAAGGTATGTTTACTGAGAATTTTTAAAGCAATGCACAGGAAGTGAGAGGGTCTCCTGCTGCCCATAATGTTTCCATATCTGGTCTCGTCTTTCATCTATCTAACTCCGTTCTCGAGATAAAGATAAGACCAGAGCCACCCCTAGGGCCGGGTAACCGCCCCGGGCTCCGCGCTTAAGAGGATGCAGCATAATAATGTAATCTACCAACAAAACTCAGACGCCAAGTCAGATTGGTGTAGTTAGCATTGCATAGAACATTTATACACTTGAGTATATTGTAAACTTATAAATGTTTTAATTGAACAAATTTATGCTGCTGAATGATACTAAATAGAATTAATTTCAACATTCGATGCAAGAATGGCAGAACATAGGCTATAAGACGTATCAAAGATAAAGAAACAAACGATTATTATTTAGGTTGGAAAATTCAAAATGAGATAATTAATCTGTTGGCAAACAAAGTTAAAAATGAAATAATAAAAAAAAAGTAAATATTATACAGTGCAGTTAGACTGTACTACCGATAAAAGTCGTATTGAACAATTAACTCATATTGTTCGAATTGTAGAAATGCTCGACGAACAAGAACGAAACGATGTTGAAATTAATGATTATTTTATCGGTTTTTCTCCTATGCCGAAATGTGCAGAGTTTGATTTATCAGAGGAATTATGTAAACAACTTAAAAATTTAAATATTTCTTTCAACGATTGCCGTGTACAAGCTTATGACAATGGGGCTAACATGGTAGGCAAGAGAAAAGACCTGCAAGCAAGGATTTTGGGAAAAAATCCGACAGCATTTTTTGTGTCACGTTCAGCACACAATTTAAATTTATTAATATATGTGACCGCAGGGTCGGCACCTCTTTGGCGCCCTGTCAGGATGATACCACTGTGTCTTGTAACAGACACAGAAAAATTTTATCGGCCGTTACTTTTGGTTACGCGAACGGTCGCGTTTGTGGACTTTTAGTTCCGGGATGGAGGCGTGAAGAGAGAATCAGAGGAATTGCACTCTACATAATCTATACATAATGCCCGTTTATTGTTCGAATTAAGCTATATACAATCGATTCAGTTAACATATCTATTTTCCTCCCGGTTACCCGTATTCCTGAGAGAGAGTTCACATGTATTACGTGCGAGGATAAATACCTTGTTATAAATTGTCGATTAGTCGTTTTCGTCCTCGAGTCTCTAGACTTCACAAAGTTCTTTCAAACGTTGATATGTTTTTTTCCCAATTGCACAAAGTCCTTTCGAACGTTGTTAGTCGGTTTAGGCGTAGTCCTTCCGAACAGCGGCGATTAGATGAGTTCCGGGTAGCGGCTAATCCGTTCACGTAAATACACAGTGCACACCAAACTCCAGAGACTGACTCTTACGCATCGACCCCTCCTTTTTATAAAGGGGGTATCGTTGGGTTTTTTCCACTGCCTTATTAGGACTGTTTTTTTTCACCACTGACCAATACAGGTTTTCTTTTGTCTTTTCGTAGATTCTGGGTGACACATTCCTTTAACCCGGAACTGGTTCGTGGGAAAACAATTTAATGTTCTTTTTAAATGTTGAGTTGTTGTTTATTTCTCTAAACTGTTCCTTTTACGAGAAAACAATTATTTAACAATTTATTCCAATAAATTCGACTCTCACATATATGATATGGCTTCCTCGGTTTCTATGACTATGTCATTTTTTGGAACACTTTCGAGACTGCATACACTATTTTCCACGTCTGCTCACAGGTGGGCTATTTTAACGAAACATTTAACAAATTCAACTCTAAAACCATTATCAGATACACGTTGGGAATTCCGAATAAATTCTGTGAAGACAGTTAGATTTGATTTGGACAAAATTATAATAGCATTAGAAGAATTAAATGACGTGACGGAGGATTCTAATGTAAAAAGTGAAACAGATTCCTTGAGAAATATGCACGACTCTTCCAAATCTGGCCATTAGTTTAAGAATATTATTAACAATTCTGATTTCAACAGCATCAGCAAAACGAACTTTTTCTAAATTAAAACTAAT